ACCAAATTGTAAATTGTCTGATACCAACGAGTAGAATATGTGATGGAAATATCGGATTTTGTTACCTTTTCTGACAGTGACATCATTTTTAAGCTATCTGATCAGCTATCAGCCAGTGGTTGCCAGACCCTGAATTTTGTTTTACTTTTTTATTATGAATGCGAAAGTTTGCATGGATGGATGTACTTTTGTTACTTAGTATTTCCAAAACAGCATAATGGATCTCGGTAAAACTTGGCATAGATGTAGAAGAAAGGTAACTTTTTAAGTTTTTATATTTCCCTGCGGGTATAATTAGGTACAGCATAAAATAATATAACAAACACAATTATGTTTTGTGGTATAGGTGCTGGGCGATTGTAGCTCGCGCTGGGCGGCGCTGGGGCCGCACGTGTCGTCTGCGGAGGCGCTGGCGCGGCTTGTGGGGCTGGACGCGCCGCCCGCAGAGGACGAGGAGCGCGGCCGCGCGCGCAGCACGCTGCTGCACGCGCTCACGCTGCTGCTCGGCGTCGTCAAGCGCACGCACGTGCCCGCCGACCCGGACAAGTTAGTTATACTGCCGTTTTCTATTATAAATGTAAACTCACATTGTTTATATTTATAATTTACGAGTTGTTCCCGTGCGGCTTCGTCCGCATCAAATTATAAATACTTTATTTTATTGTTTACATTTGCGAAATTATATATTGCAAATGCACAAATGACCACAAAGGCGTTTGACGTTTATAACAATTTCCTTTGCCATGGAAACCTTGCTTCTTTGATGTCATTTTGCAATTTTTGTCAATTTTAATAGCGTGAAAATAAGTAAATAAGTAAATGTAGGGCTTTTTATTAAAAAAAGGAGTAATTAAAAAAATTACTGTGATTCACTAAGTATTGTTTGTTTACGATTATTGCATTCCTCCAGCATTGATATTGTACATAATTTGTGTGTGCAGAGCGTCTCGCGGCGGTTTCGGTGCGGGCGTGACGTCATCGGGCAACCCGATATGGCGTAACCCGTGCAGCGCGCACGTGCTGCCACTGCTGCCGCACGCGCTGGCGCTGGCGCGCGCGCTGCACGAACTGCACGAGCCGCGCGCCGCCGCGCTGCGCCACCCCGCGCACCGCCGCGCGCTGCTGCCCCCGCCCGCCGAGCGGCACAACCTGCTCGGCCTGCGCGACGACGCCCCACCCGCGCCCACTGAGCCCCAGGACCGCATGCAGAACTATCTGCACACGCTGCACGACAATGTCAGTATACACAAATTATGCTTTGTAAACCCTCTATGTTTAAGTGTCAGCATAAAATAAAAACAGTAATGATTATAAGCTACTAACTATAAAAACTGAATGAAATGAAGAGTAGTTCAAAATCTAGTATCTTACAACAATTCCCAGTTTACAGTCCTGCAACAAAATCTATGTTGGTTTTATTTAAAACTTAGCCCACACATCGGTTTCCAGTGTAGGTTTACAGATTTTGATTTCTAGACTGGAACAATGTGAACTTAAAGGTTAGAGTGGTATGGGCATGTTATGAGAAGGGATGAATCGCATGTGACAAGAAGGATATTAGTTATGAATGTAGAGGGGTACATCGGTAGAGGTAGACCTAGAAAGAGATGGATGGATTGCGTGAAAGGTGACATGATCAAGAAGGGAGTGATGACTGAGATGACGGATGATAGAATGCTTTGGAGGACGAAAACCCGGTGCGCCGACCCTACGGGAGTAGGATAAGGCAGGGGAGATGATGAACAATGTGAACCGGACGTTACTCGATGCGAATTACTTAAATAGCAACAGTGTAGATAGGTGAATGTTTTGTGTTGTGCAGGTGTGCCACCTGGTGGGCGCGGCGGCGGCGTCGCTGGGGCGCGAGTTGTACGGCGCGGCGGGGCTGGCGCGCTTCGTGGCGGGCGCGCTGCTGCACGCGCCGGCCTGCCTGCCCGACCACTGGCTGCGGCGCGTGCTGCGCGCGGCGCTGCGCCCGTTGCTGCTGCACTGCCCGCCCGCGCACTACGCCGACGTCGCCGTGCCGCTGCTCGAACACCTCGCCCCCTTCAGTATGTACTCTCTTATCTACAGTCGCCCAAAACCGGATTATTCTCAATCGTCACCCTGCTCTGTCCCCACTTTGGGACACCTTTATTCCCACTAATAAGTTGAAAGATGGAACCGTTAAGAAATAAAATAAGTTACAACCGTCCCCTCGTCGCAAAAGTTGGGAATCCGGAATCTGCGGTGCTCCACTTCAGGAAAGATTGCAACGAGACAAACTCCGCCTATTCCTACAAATAATTAATTAGATAGCAATGAGTGCAAACAAAGGGATAATAATAAAAAGAAACTAACCGTGTAGACTTTTTTCTTACACAAATTTATAACCTTCATTGTATTAGTTTTTGTTACGTGTCTCGTTTCAAAATATTCATACGATTTTACCTTTTAAGGTGGAACACCGCCAGTTTCCCCGACTGTACATGTGTAATGTTATATGTGTTGTATGGCAGTGCTGGTACACCTGTCCGCGCGCTGGGAGTACGTGACGTCACTGTACGAGTCGGGCAAGCTGGAGGAGGAGGGCGGCAGCGAGTCGCAGGAGGTGCTCGAGGATATGCTCGTGCGG